CGTCCCCCTGGTAGTATGTGGAAACGCTTCCCAGGGGGCGAACTTTCGACCAAAAAGGACTGGTCGCGAGGGGTTTTAGTTGGTAGGCCCGGCCGCTGCAGATAGTCAGCGGCTGGGAGAGCCCAACACTACCCCGGCTGTCAGGCCGGGGTGTGCATCAGCATTTCCCCTCGTATAAAAAAAAAAAAAAAAAAGTCCTACCTCGGTAGGGCTAGGAATAAGGATGGATAGGGAGGTAGGGTTTAAGGGTAGAAAAGAGGATGATGCGCGTGGTGTTAGTGCGCTAGCCAATTCGGATCCCGAAGTAATGCGAGAGCAGTTCCTGGAGTCCGGACATTGTGGCCTAGGCTGGGCCCGAGGGGTTTTAGTTGGTAGGCCCGACTGACCAGATCGAGTCGGTCGGGAGAGCCCAACAAAACCCCGCCTGACGCAAAAGGTGTTTGCCTTAGTTGGCTGGTCCACCTGTCGGGCGGGGTATCCATCAGGCGGATTTCCCCTCGTTAAAAAAAAAAAAAAAAAAAGTCCTACCTCGGTGGTGCCAGGCCCCTTAGACTGGCTAGGAGAGGTGATACTCCGATAAAAAACACATCCTCAAAAAATATGGACAGCACAACCAAGGAAACGATCGTACCTTCCCAGGGGGGTCGGATACCCCAGGGAACGGCGGATGAGCAGAGTACAGTCCCTGCTCGGCCTCTGTCGTCATCGAACGAAGGGCTGACGGAGGTGTTGGCGTTGGACACCTCCCGAAATATGGACACCGGCAACGATGAACCCAGGCATGATCAAGGACATGAGAAGGAAAATGGAAAGGACAATGAAGGGAAAGATGAGGATGTAGGAGCAAATGAGGCGGTGGGAGACGAGAACTCAATGGATATGGTGGAATGTAGGAAACGGATCAGGGATAGATCTTCTGAGAAGGAGAAAGAGGAGGAAATCAAGCCATCTCAGAAGATAAGGAAATCAAGGATAATAAGGGACGAGCAATCTGAGGAAGAAGTAAGTAAAAATCAGGAACCGCCTGCAAGTCCAATTTATATCTCCGACGACAATGAAGATGTACGAATGATGTCTTTATATGAGGAGGGAGTGTATGTTGGAGACAAAGAGGACGAGGATTATAGGAAAGAGAAGAAACGAGGAAGGGGACGGCCGAAAAAGGAAAGGAGGAAGGTAGTGGGAGTTCAGGACTTGGATGTGCACGAACTGTCGGATTCAGAGGACAGTGAAGGATTCAACGTCACGTCAGCAGCCGAAGCAGGGGCTAGAGCTCTAGAGTATTTAGATGCGGTGGATCAGATAAGAGTTAAAAGTAAGAATATTAAAGGAGACTTATCTGGTATCATGAAGAAGAGGTTAAAAGATTCTAAAGAAATAGTTCGAGCTCTGATGTGAAAGGCAGACAAAAGTGGAGACAAGAAAGGAAAGGAGAAAGAGTCAGAAAAGGAGATAGAGATTAAAATGTTGAAAACGAAGAATAAAGAGCTAGAAACAAGATTAAAGGAAAAGAAGAGAGAAGGTAAAGTAAGAGAAGAAGAAGTGGAACAGCTACAAAAAATAGTGTTCGACATGAAAAAGGAAATAGATAGGTTAAAAGAAAAAATTGAGAATCTAGAACAGAAGCAACAGAAACAAGATACAGTAAAAGAAGATAGCCCGAAAAGGAAAAAAGTAAAAAGTAAAAGAGATACTTACTTAGATGGTAGGGCGACTTACCTGGAAAATAGGGCGACGACAGAAGAATCCACGGCCTGGGAAGAGTCCGATGTTCCTGAAAAAGGGAAAATGGTTTATCGACATCCGATGGAATTTCGACGAAGTCCTAAGGAGAGGTCCGCACATGATCCGAGGCGCCCGGAGATGGTTGAAGATCCGCAGTATCTGAAACAAAAGAAAATGTTAGAAATACAAGCTACCAGGGAGAAACTTAAGAGTACAGGTATAATCGGGAACGTAGGACAAGAAAGGGATCAAGGAGGAAGCAGTGAGATGACAGAATGGCCTGCATTACCCCAAAGAAAGACTAGGGAGTTTAGGTCTTCCATTAGAAAGGACATTAAGGTGTTAAGTAATGTTAGATTGGCAGGTAAGGTCAAAGTGATACCACCATCATTAGCGCCAAAGGAAGAAGGAGGACAACAAGAGGAATGGAAAATAGTGAAAAGAAGAAAGGAGGTAAGGAACGAGAAGAAAACAGAAGGACAAGCTCAAGAACAATAGCAGCAAAGAAGAAGAGATATGAAACAGGGAGTGCGGAGAAGGCCACCAAGATCAGCGGCTATAACAATACGAGGTGTAAAAGAGAATTTCTCATATGCAGATGCATTAAGGACAGCAAGGGATAATCCTGAAATTAAAGAGATAGGAATAGAAAATACAAGATTGAGGAAAACGGCTATGGGAAATGTGTTAATAGAGATAGTCGGGGAAAAAGAGAAAAGAGAGGAGAAAGCTGAGAAGTTAGCCCATGCATTATAACAGCTAATAATTACTGAGGCAAAGATAGCTAGGCCAGTAATAAAAGGAGAATTACGGATGTTTGGGCTAGACGACTCTATATCTAAAGAAGAAGTTAAAAGTCTCATGATGGAAATAGGAAAGTGTAATGAGGAAGCGATAACTATCGGAGACATAAAACCGATGAGGAATGGATTAGGTATGATATGGGCTCAATGCCCACTAACACTAGCTATACAAATGGCTAATTTGAAGTCGATACGTTTGGGCTGGTCTAGAATCCAAATTGAGTTGTTAGAGCGTCGACCAGTCCAATGCTATAAATGTTGGAAAACAGATCACTTGAAACATGCGTGTAAATCGAGTGTGGATAGAACAAACCTATGTTACAGATGTGGATCCCAAGGACATCAAGTGAAAGGATGTAATAAGGACGTGAATTATGTCATATGTAAAGAGGAAGGTTATGACGCCAAACACCGAGTGGGGTCACTTGTTTGCATAAATAACAGCAGAAGAAAAAATATAAATAAGACAGATAAAATAGATCACGATAGTAGAAAGGAAAAAGATAATATAGAGGAAAATGAAAAAATGGAAATAATTACAAACGATGATGACTAATTATACGATTAGAAATGTGACCAGAGATAATACTAAGACTAGAAATAGGAATGAGACTAGAAATAAGACTAGCTTGATTCATGCGATGCAGATAAATCTTAATCATACGAAAGTAGCTCAGGATTTATTAAATCAATGGATGATAGAAAATAAAATAGAAGTAGCAGCTGTACAGGAGCCATATAATGCAGACAATAAAGATTACTGGTTTACAAGCATCAACGGACTAGCGGCTATATATTGGAATAAGAGAATTACTAACGCTCCGTGTACTAGACTAATACAAAAGGGTCAACACTCTATAGCCGTACAATACAAAGAATCGTTTTATTTCCTGTTATTCGTCGGCAAATAGCACTAAAGCGGAATACTTAGAAATGGTAAATGAAGTTAAAAGAGTAATTATTAAAGAAAAACATAAAATCATTATATGTGGAGATTTCAATGCTAAGTCTCCCATTTGGTTTTTGAATAGAGAAAATTACAGAGGAAGAGAACTGGCACAGATGGCTAATCTTTTAGACTTAAGACTACTTAACGACAAATCTGATGCGTCAGAGCGCAAGTATCATCTATCATCGACTTAACATGGTGCTCACCGGATATAACTTCCAAAATATATGACTGGAAAGTACAAAAAGAGGAAATTACAATGTCAGATCATCTATATATCACATTTAAAATTAACATAAAAAGGTTAATAAGTGGAAGAGAAACTAATAGGATAGCGTGGTCTTTTTCCAAATTTGACGCAGACCTATTTCAGGCCATTCTTATATGGAAATGTTCTACGGAAGATGTCACGGAAAAGTATCAAAATTTTCCCATTGAGGCTAGCGAAAGGATAGACAAGATACTTAAAACAGCCTGTGATTCAGCTATGCCTAGAAGATCTAATAAATTTAGAAGAACAGAATCCATGTATTTGTGGAACGAAGATATCAGGGAAAAAAGGAAAGAATGTATCAAATTGGAAAGAGAATGGAAAAGATACAAAAAAAGATACAGAATCTAAAAGATACAGAAAAACTATGTACAAGAAATAAGAAGAGAAAAAGAGATGATCTTTAAGACAGCAAAGAAAGAACTGAGGAAGCTAATTAATAAATCTAAAACAACAGCATGGCAAGACTTGATCCAAAGCATAGAGGACGACCCCTGGGGTCTTCCCTACAGACTAGTCTTAAATAAACTTAGACGTAACTCACCAACTCTGACCGAGACATTAGATACAAGGATACTAAAAAGGACGTTGGATGTACTTTTTCCGCGAAAAAGAAAAGAAAAGGAAAGGCTAAACATCGAGTGCCATTGGAAAGAAGAAGATAATGTAGACACGCAAGAAATATCGTATATAGTTAGAAAAAGGCTAAAAAGACACACTGCGCCAGGCGTAGATGGTGTAAAAGCGGCATACTTAAAGCATGTTAATATAGAAATGATGGAATATTTGGCTAAAGGTCTAACTATCTGTCTTAAAAATTGAGTCTTCCCACCGCAATGGAAGAAATCGCAATTAGTACTAATTCCTAAAGGAGAAATAGATCCAGAAAATCTGAAAACACTTCCAATTTGTCTATTACCGGAAATAAGCAAAATATTCGAAAAAGTCATCGTGAACAGGATAACTGATTGGATGGAAAAGCATCCGGATGCACAATTAAGCCCCAATCAATACGGATTTAGGCAGTAAAAATCAACGGTAGACGCTATAATGGAATTAAAAGAAATTATTGAATTAACACATAAAAGAGACAAAGGAGTGGTGATAGCTATTGGATTAGATATATCCAATGCATTTAATTCGCTGCAATGGTCGGACATTTGTAAAGCACTTAAAGAGAAAAATTTTCCCGAATATTTACAGATTATTATATACAATTATTTAGCAGACAGAAAATTAGTAATATACAAATATGGACGGAACGGAAATGACTAGAATCGTTGAAGCAGGGGTACCCCAGGGCTCGGTCCTGGGGCCCCTGTTATGGAATCTAACTTTTGATAAAATCCTAAAGGCTAAGACTGAGAATGGGTGTAGACTGATGGTACGCGGACGACACCCTCATTCTGGCGTTGGCGAAGTCGGTCGAAACAGCGAAGAGAAGAGCTACACTACAGATAGCGCGCACGATTCGGCAAATTAAAGATCTAAAGCTAGAGATATCAAACGATAAAACATAGATTGTTGTTTTTACCCCAAATAAAAGAATACCTCCGGAAATAGAAATAACAGTAGATGGAGAAATAGTAAAATCAAAAAGAACGATCAAATATTTAGGCGTCATAGTAGACGATAAGCTAACGTTTACGGAACACATAGATTACGTAGAAAATAAGATCAATAAAGTTATGAGATCATTATGGAAATTAATGTCCAATCTAAGCTGGCCAACAGAGAAAAAGCGGCAATTATACGCGAATGTTTTATCGTCCATTATATTGTACGCGGCCCCGGTTTGGGCCCATAAGGCATCAAAGAAGGAAAAAATACAAGATACGCTCCGAAGACTTCATAGGAGCATATCCCAGCGCGTGATAGCAGCGTACAAAACAACATCTGGAGATGCAGCTGCCATATTAGCGAGGATTCCTCCCTACCACATGACAATGGAAGTTAGAAGACGTGCATACGAAAAAATAAGAGACTGTAAAATAAATAAAACATGGTCTAAGAAAAAAGATAGAGAAATAATAATCAAGGAAAAATTAAGAGACTACGATATATGGAAGAAATATTTACAAGAGAAGAGTAAAGCTGGAGCACGTACCAGAGAAGCGGTCTTACCTATATGGGAAACTTGGATTAATAGACGACATGGAAATATAAGTTTTAAACTCACCCAATTATTTACGGGACATGGCGTATTTTACGCCTTCCTCAAAAGAATCGGCAAGGCGAGCTCCGACATCTGCCCGCATTGTGACACACAAGATAGAGACACCGCAGAACATACTCTTATGGAGTGCGAAGCCTGGAAAGAATACAGGATGGAATTACTGAATAAGATCAAGCTGACAAGGAATGAACTTACGTTAGGATCACTAATCAAGCAGATGGCGAAAGACAAGCAGGATTGGCTGGCAGCACACGACTTCGCGGAAAAAGTCTTCCTGGAAAAAGAAGAGAAAGAGAGACAGTTGGAGGCGGAGGCGGATTCCCTCCCCTCTTCCCCGGAACAATCTAGAACAGAAAGCGATTAGTTAACACACACAGACATAGACACCCATACATACGTTACACACAAGCAGGCACACGTATGCGTGTAAGCACACACACATGCACACACATAGATACACACGTACACAAACACATACACACATACATACACACAACACACTATTTACATTATACTACTTACCTTACTAACGCTATACTTACCTGGAAAGACGAAATATATACGTGTCTTCCTGAACATGTATCCCTGAAAAGACATATTTGCTAGAAACACAGGAGAGAGGAGAAGTTAAAGGAGGAGTACGCGAATAACAACGCGCCATGTTCAGCCCCCAGATGGATGCGAGAGCAATTCCTGGAGGCAGAACAGCATAGAAATGGCAAGGAGGATCGAGGGATTTTAGTTGGTAGGCCCGACCGCTGCAGATAGACGGCGGCTGGGAGAGCCCAACACTACCCCGGCCGTCAGGTCGGGGTGTGCATCAGGAGCATTTCCCTTCGTTAAAAAAAAAAAAAAAGTCCTACCTCTCTTCCGTGGACGCCACCTTGACGTGGTGGAAGGGCTTAAGGGGTTCCGGTCGTCCGGGGCGGTTCAGTTGGCCAACTCGGTCGCTGTTCCGGTCTGGGCGGGCGGGGCCCTACTAAGAGCACTTCCCTCCCCGGAAGGGGAGGAAGAGGGGATTCCGCTCCCTTCGGGCACCTTGGCCTAATGCGAATAGGGGAAGGAAAACCCTGACTCCCAAACAGTGGGGCCGTTCACGGATGGGAGAACATCCAACCCATTCTTTCTTCCTTACCCATCCACTACCTCCTTTCCTTTTTCCTCGTCCCATTGTCCCCAGTTTCCCCCTGTACTTTCCTTCGGGATGGCGCCTGCTTTAAAATAGCCTAGAGGAGACAACTTCGATAAAAAACAAAACTGGATGGAAAATGGGAAGGAAAAAGACCAGACCATTACCGGTCCAGGGGACTTCGGACCCCCAGGGCCCGGCGGGTGAGGGGGGTAGTGTCCCGGCCCCTCTCCCGTCGTCATCGGACGACGGGCAATCCCCGGGGTCAAGAGTGGGCCCCGGGGCTGATAGGACTACCATCCCTAAGCTCTCTTCCTTCGTGACCCCTTCGAAAGCCTTTGTATGGCTGAAGGAGTCACTGGAAGAGTTGATGGAGGGTGCCGACGAATGGCACCAATACCTCACGAAACTTCGTGAGGAGGCAATGGTGAACAGAGAAGGGGATGGTTTTTTGTTGATCCCGGGGGGTCTGGCCTATTTGGACAGCCAGTTAGACTGGTTCGACCAGCGGTCGGGCGCCTTCGGGCGGCTCTGCCCCTCGCTAGGAGAGCGAGTGAGTGGGTGGGGGGGACGGAGGTGGGGATCGGAACTTCCCCGCCTCCTACCCCCTCACCGGAGGTAAACGCTACGAGGAGTATATCGGTGGAGGTTTGCCTCGGACCAGAATGTGTGGACCGGGGCACATCCCCACTGAGAAAATGTGACGTGCGGGCTGGCCCGATGCTCCAGATTAGGAGTCAGGGCGTGCAAACACCGAAGGCGTGGAGAGGGGAGTGCAAATGCACTCCTACAGCGGAGAGCAGGGGGTGCAGCCCAGCTATAGAGACCAATGCTGCCCCCCAGTCGAGTCGACTGCGGAGAGGTTCGGCCGATGGGACCCCTGGGAGTACGCTAAGCCGGCCGGCCTCTCCTACGCCGACGTGGTGAAGGTTCCGAGTGCCCGGGTTCCGGGAAACCAAACTTTGGTTCTGGCCCCGGGACTCGGAATGGTGAGGTTGGGACGAAATGGTGTCGGCGATCTCGTAGTGGAGGTCCCCGCCACCATTGAAACGGGAGCTGTGGCCCCCCTGCGGGGGGTTGATTCTGGATTAGAGTCATCCCCCTCCGAGGGGAGAGGTCTTCCTCTGATGAGGGGAGAAGAAGGAGAAGTCAGTGGTGGCGCCGGGTTGGTCGCCCCTCGGTAGTTTTGCCGAGTGGGTGGCCGGCCCGGTGCTACTCCTGCCTGGAGGCAGGGCATGTAGCGGCCCAGTGCCCCGAAAGTGGAGGGAGTGATAGGGGGGTGCGCTGCTATAAATGCGGCGCACCCTCCCACAAGATGGCGAGATGTCGCGCGGGGAGCCCAAGATGTCCGCTTTGCGCGGATCGAGGGCTCCCCGCGGGACATATCCTGGGGGCGGAGGGGTATAAACCTTCCCCCGGAGGGGGGAACGGAGAAGAGTGGACGCGGTGGGGGAGCCCCGTTGAGCACAGGTGCGGCCCGGGGGCTCCCCCCGTCCAAAATAGGATAGAGTGAGGGCCGGAATCGCGGTCCACCGGACTCTCCGCCGGAAGGGTGGGATTCGGGGGGCGCGGGGATGGCCTCGGTGAGGTCGGTCCTCCCCCTGGGTCACTACGAATCTTTTGGTTTGGGCGGCCTGGGGGAGAGCTACGGCCAACGGGGGGGACGGTGTTCTCTGCTGAGTAGCGGAGATCATAGTTTCCCCCCCCCAGGGGATCGTTGGGGGAGGGCTAGTAGCCTACGGGCGAATGTCCTCTTCCCGGCGACCCCCCGAGATGGGAGAGATAACGGTGGAGGACCTTCTGTCCTCTGCCCGAACCTCGTGGTGGATCCCCGGGTTGAATGCCAAATCCACTTCCCTACGGGGGGTGGAGGGAGCCTCAACCCGGGGGCTGGGGGGCCGGGGCCCGAGTCGAGTGAGCTCGGACCCCGACCCTGTCCCCCCTGAACACCAAGGGAAGGACGTGGGTGGGCAGTGTGGCCCTGTCCACCCGCAACCGCGTACGCGCAGATGGAGGGCCAAAAAAGCCCTCTCCGGGATGGAGATCGGGCGGCGACGATCGCACAACACCCGCGACGTCGCCTCCCGATTGCAGCGAGAGGGGAATTAAGGGGCAGGGGTTCCGATGTATTGCAACTGCTAGTTCCGGTCCCCTGTCCCTCCCCCTATCGCCGGGATGGCCACCCCAGGGGTTTTAGTGGGTATACCTCGTTAGAGGGAGTCACACATAACCCTCGCTCTCTCCTCGAGGAATCCATCAAGGATTTCCCCTGGGTAACAAAAAAAAAAACAAAAAAAAAAGTCCTACCTAACGGGCATTCACACACATCATTATTGGATTTGAGGAGGAGTACTAATTTACTAATTTATTAGTACCTTTAGGAGGAGTACTAGCAATCAGTACTTTTAGGAGGAGTACTAGTAATCAGCACCTATTAGAACTTTGACTATATATACAAGAATATAATATACACAAGTTAGGATCACTAATTTAGTGGTATAGTCCACTACATGCATATAGAGTCATACACAATACACTCATACACTCATACAATCACACGTTCCAGGGTCACACGATTACCATCGTCATTATCATTATCATTGGGGTCATTATGGAGGGTGGTTGGGTAGGAGTAGGAGAAAAGGGGGGGATGGGAATAGAGTTTAGGGGTGGGATAGGGTAAGGTCATTCATTCATTCACCCATTCACTCATTTATCCATTCATTCCTTCACTTATTCATTCATTCATCTATCCATTCATTCACCCACTCAATCATCATCATTCATTTACTTACACGGCGGGCGCGCGCCGTGCCGGGCGTGCCTCTGGCGGCTTGGCGCGCGCGTGCCGCCGTCGCACACCTATTTATTGGGCGGCGGTGGGGTGCGCGGGGGTGCTGGGCGCGTCTTGGCGTGACTGGCGCCTGTCCGTCGCACACTCACACTCACGCACACGTATACACACACACACACATATATATACACATACACAACGGATCTAACACCCGGAAGGACGAGGGTCCCTCAGACCCACCTCGGCGATAGCTCTCCGGGCGGGTAATGCGAACTTGGGTCCCTCCTGGGGAGCGAGCCTTTGAGGAGGAACGTACAGAGAGGGGTTTTTAGTGGGTAGGGGCCGTTAAATAGGCCGAGTCCCACACTGCTCCGGCCTACGGGGGCCGGAGGCGTGCGTCAAAAGCATTTTTCCCTCTCTCGTAAAAAAAAAGTCCTACCTAAGTCCTCCGTGGTGTCGTGGTGGAGGAGCTCCCCTCTTCCCACTGGGTTGAGGGGTCTAAGAGCACACCATTGCACTTCCTCATCTTCCGTTCGGCATTGAGCCGGCGGGGGATGAGAAGGGGGGTTGCGCTCCCTCCGGGCACCTTGGTCTGATACGCATAGGGGTAGGCGGCCCTGACTTCAATCGCTCGGTCGGCCACGACCGTTAGGGATGCCCCTGCACTGTCAGGGTCTACCATCCCGGTGGCTAGAAGAAGGAAAACCTCGAATAAAAACCCGGTCTGGACAGCCCGTGAGCCTCTGGACGGCGTGTCCTAAGGGAAGGAAAACCCCGACAGAAAACCAATTTCTTTAAACTCATGAAATGGACGAATTTAAAGATAGAGAAGTTACCGGCCCAGAGGTTTCGGAGCCTCAGGGCCCAGCGAGTGCGGGGAGTATCGTCCCGGCCTTTTCCTCGTCGTCATCCGACGTCGGGCTACCCCTGGTGTCTCAGGAGAGCACTAGGGGCGAAGATACTATCTCCTTTCTCTTAGGTAGAGGGTTCCGGAGGCACCTAGCCGCCAGCGAGCGGCAGAACGTCGGGCGTTCCAGCCCCCCGGAAAATCAGGTGAGGGATCCAGGATCCTCACAACCGGGTCCCTCGGGAGCGAGGACGACTGCGGAGGACGACGCCGTTTTCAAACATCCCGGACCGAAGTCCTTCAAGATGAAGAAGAAGGCCGTCAACACCGTTGGACCTTCGGAGGAGGAATCGCCTGGCGATGGGTCGGAGAGCGACGCCGATATGTCGCCGTTCTCCGATCTATCGTCGGATACTAACTACGCCTTGTTGCACGAGGTCGCAACGAGGGAGAAGAGAGGAAGAGGCCGTCCTGCAACCACCGGACAGCACGTGGGGATGAGGGCTCTTAGGGAACAGATAGCGACCCTTAAGAAGGAGCTGGCGGAGGTTGAGGCGGAGCGGGATGTCCTCGCGGGACGCTCTGAGGTTAGCT